AAAAAAAAAAAAAAGAAAGGAAGATCATAGTTTCCTTCCAGCCCATCTAACCATGAAAGTCAAGGTGTTTCTGGAAACCTCATTGTGATTGGAATGCGTCTTAGGATAATGCCCCTGGTTCTAGGGCTCAGGCATGGCAGCATTTCACCAGAGAAAGAAGAACTTGGGTTTCCTTGTGTTGCATCACTCATATCTTAACTCTGCTGTGATTTACGTTTGCAAGATAGCTGCTGGTTGCTACACATCCATCCGTTCTAGAGCTGAGGACAGTGAACTCCAATAGGAAAAGAGCTGGTTTGGATTTCATAATTGTCCAGTGTCCCCAAGCTGTTAAGGGGCAATGTCAGTATTCAAAGCTAGGCCTTCCTGGCTCCAGAGTTCTCTTTCTACTTTGTAAACATTGAGCATAAGAAGAAATGCTTTAATATTTACAAGTGGAAATCATTAGACTTTAGTAAGTAAAAGGTAAATCAAGAATTATAGCTCTTGACCACTGTGCATTAGGCATTTGAATAATTTGTGAATGTAGATTCTGAAACAATGATGTCATCTTCTTCTTCTTTTCTTTTTTTAATTGCTTTCTAGGGCATCCTGTGGATGTTTATCCTAATATTGATGTGCCAGTGACAAGTCCCACGAGAATGCCTCTAAAAGACAGAGAAGAGAATAACGCAAGTAGCAAATCATCTTGCAGGGAAGACCTCATCTTGCCTCCCAGGAAACCACCCCACATGGACTCTGAGAAGGAGATTATTAGGGGCCCAGATCCAAGTGAGAATGAGGCCACCCCAAATCACACAGACTTGTGCTCTGAATCTCAAGTGTATCTGACAATTGGTGAATTCCAGAACAAAGCAGGTGGACCTGAAGAAGAAAGTTGGACTGGACAAAGGCCTGAGGTTGGAACACACCCACTGGCAGATAGGGACATGCCTATAAAAAGCCTGAGTCCAGAGGATGGGCATGTCCCAACGCTGACCTACATTGATGTGAATTTAAACAATAAGAACCCCAGCGGAGCAGAACCCATGGTGGTTGACCCCGTGGTGGTCATTAGTGCTCAGCATGAGAATGGGGCCTTGGGAGATAGCCATGCATTAGACAGAACTGCACTAAGCAAAATGGCAGCTGGCGGAAGTCATCAAAATGCCATCTCTTCTGAAAAGACAACACTCCGTGAATCAAGTCCTCTTGGGAAGGGAGTAGAGCAAGAGGGTAAGATAGTGCTGCTAAGTGTGAAACCCCTCTCCTCTGAGCCCTGTGAACCTCTGAGCTCTGTTCTGAGGGACCCTTTTGACATTAGGTCTTCCCCCAAGGACACTCACACAGAGGGACAGGAGGAGATTTTAGTACTTTCTGGGGTCATCAGGAGATCTTCTTCTATCATATCCGACTCAGGCATTGAGAGTGAACCAAGCTCTGTTGCCTGGTCCGAGGCCCGGAGCAGGGCCCTGGACTTACCCAGTGACCGGGACATCTTGCACCAGTTGGTCCGAAGACATGCCCTCCACAGGAACTCCTTGGAGGGTGGACATACTGAGAGCAACACAAGTTTGCCGAGTGGCATCCAGGCTTCTCTCACTTCTATCAGCTCCCTGCCCTTTGAGGAGGAGGAACGGGAGTTGGCACTTACCAAGTTGACCAAGTCTGTGTCTGCACCCCAAATCAGTAGCCCAGAGGAGGCTGCTGAAGACACGGACACCATGCAGCAAGGTGGAGGGCTTGCTGAAGCTTTAGATGTACACACCAAGAGCATAGATTCCCCAGGAAATTGCTCCCAATTTTGTGGTGGCTCTAGTAGCCATGATGCTGGAGTGGACCATTGCCTTGTGGAGATCATTTTAGATGCTGATGACCATCAGGACCCTGGTTACATAGACATCCCCAAAGGCAAAGAAAATCAGCTCGATCCTCAAGGACACTGTAATGTTGATGGTAGAACTGAGAACCCCCCAGGTATTGATACCAAAGGTCTTAATTTAAAAATACCACGCATCCTAGCACTTGAAAACTCCAGGGACAGATCTTTCCAAAAAGCACTATTGGAAACCCCAAAGAGCATGCCTGAAGATTTGAATGTGGGGGAAAGAGTTCTTTCCAACAGCACCATGTCAGATGTCAAGGATATTGACCCCCATCAGGTGCCTGTACAGAGCCACGCATCAGCTGCTGGTGCCATTGACCTGGATCCAACAGGGGAGCAAAGTGGCCTACTATGTGTCACTCATGACACAGCGTTTACTAGAGTAGCTAATGCCTCACCTGAGACTGTACCTAGAGCAGGCACCATGTGCCCCACTGTGACTCATTCCACCCACTCCCAAGAATCTGAAAACCAAGAGCTGAAGGCAACCACTTCCATCACAGTGTCCCCACTGACCTCTGCAGAGACCTTTTCCCTGGACAGCCTGAAGGCTGTAGAGGTGGTTAACTTATCTGTGTCTTGCACTGCTACCTGTCTCCCTTTCTCATCTGTGCTCAAGGAGACCCCTGCCAGGGTTGGATTCTCCTCCAAGCAGACCCCATTCCCCATCACTCATCAACCCCTGGGCTCCTTTGGAGCTGTTTCAGTGCATGCCAGCAGGCTGGCAGAAGAAGTCAGTGAAAGAATGTTTAGGTAAGCTTGCTGGTAGCTCGTCTATCCCAGCTCAGACTGTTA